AAAACAACAAGCAACAGTAGCAGAAGTCTTTCCTTTTATTCCTTCAAAGATACCTGCTTTTTGGCTGGTGCCTCCCCCACACAGAGTGGGATCTTTCCATTATCCACACAGAGAACTATGCATAACCAATCTGTGGATTAATTTAGTAATCACACATCCTTAGTCCTAGCCTCACACAATTTAATCCTAGCACAATCACCATAGATCCAGCCAGCTCTGGAAAGCCCCACCTATGAGCACTGCGGAAAGTTTTTCAGGGACATCTATATCACATCAGCTTATGTTCATTCAACAGGGAAACAAGTCACATAGCATAGGTTATGTGATGGAAAAAGGCATTTCTGCAAAGGGATGGGTTCAGATGCTCTGGTCACCTACCTGGGCATCTGACACCTATCTGAGCTTAATGGACCAGGTGGTACTAATTACAGTATAATCTCAAAATTGCCATTTATCCTTTAGGGAGAAATGTAAGTCTGGCCAATATGTCTCCATTTTGTACCTCCAGCCACAATCTTTATGGCTTTACTTTTTTTGTGCTGATTGCCTTGAGGCCCCAATCTCTGACTGTATATTAATTTTTAACTAATTTAGCTGTCTATAATAAAGGGAGGCCATACCTTTAGGTGAAAAGGGAAAAGAGATTTATTTAAAGCTAGTTCTGAGGAGATGGAGTGGCCTATTTGCCTCCAGCCACCATCTCACCAAGTATAAATGAGTTGGTGTCTCTTACAACAAGCAACAGTGCGGGAGAGAATACAGTGAAACAATAAACACTTTCATGTTACCTCCGTCCCTTCCTGGACATAGACATACTCTACCCTTTACTAAGTAAATGAAATTGGGCTTGACCTCCTGGTGCCAGGATTTGCATATTCTGATCATTCCTCTGGGTAGAGGAGAAGTGGGAATGCCATTTATGCCCTAGGATTGAAGAAGTTTGGAAGCAACTTGATTCCAAAGAGGGGAAATCTAACTTAATAAGTTCCCATTTTGCAATGCTGGTTACAGGCGATTGAACCCAGGACTTTGCACTTGTGAGGCAGGCTCAGAACCACTGCGCTAAATCCCTGGCCCTCGTGGTTTTTGATAGGATAATCTGGACATGATGCCAGGGTGGAAATATAAAAAAGGAGCAGTCATCATTAAGAATGTACAACCGTACCTCTTCAGGGTAACCCACTCTGTGCTGTAGGGTGTATTTTTATTTTTATTTTTTCCTCCCATTTTACTTAGCCCAAATTCATTCTTACCCCTAAACTTCTGTTTTCCCCCCATATTTAATAAATGTGAAACTTTGCCATGATTTATGCTTGTTTTCTTCAATTATTTGTCTGGGACAGAAAGGACCTATAAATAACCTGTACAAGGAGACCCCTGCCCCCATCCCCTAGTAACATTCAGAGAAAGGCACATTTACATAACATTGACTATACCCTATTGTTTGCTATTATATATGTAGTTCAGCATTAGGTAGTATTATTAATCTCTACCTGTGAAAAATTTATCAATAAAATTTCATCATAGTTTTTTATGAATTGGAAAAACCAATGTATATGTGGTTTATACGATTGTTAATATCCAGTGTTGGGTTTGAAGCATGCATTGGAGACATTCAATATATCCTTCCAATTAGGATAAACTTCTCAGTTTATCTTTCATGGAAACAGAAAAGGGGCAGAACTGATATTGTCTGAGCAGACTCATAGATGAACAACTTGTTTCCATAATATTATATTATGCAGACCATGTGGAGTGGGTCACAAAGAGTTGAGCTGCAGTGGCAGAGTTCAAAAAATTTAGGAAGAATTATCCACCCTGGTTTGGGTTGTAGAAGTGGAGAAATAAAAAATTCCTCCAGGTTTGGTAGGAGCCTGAGCTTTTTTCCCATTCTGTGTCTTGTTATCCAGCTAGCTCAGGTGCCCAATGTAGCTCTTAGGTCAATGGCTTTCAACATGTGGATATATCTGGAGATTTTTTTTCTTAAGACAGAAGGGGAGTGGATTTTGCTGGCATATTGTAAGTTTTAGGCCACAGGTAATGCTAAATATCATATAATGAACAAAAGAGCTTTCATTACAAGTAAATAATTTTATGGTTTATTGACATGAATGATTAGGTTTTTTGGCTTTGATTATGACTCAATCTCAAGTCCTTTTCCCCTCTGCTCAAGTCCAGTGGATGAGTCTTATCCTTGAACCCCACTCGTTAGTTACAAATAAAATATGTTTTTACAAGTTCGATCAATTAAGTATTATTTGGTCATTCTGGATTTCAGATTATTCTCCATTAAGAAAGTAGTGGTAGTTCCACAGCCACTAATAATCTTACTACAATACAAGGCATAGAAGTTTCATATAAGACCTTTCAAGGGGATTTGAATTTCTTGCATCAGAATTACTAAACTATGAACCAATGATGTAATATTCTATAAGTATTTTCATGGTTCCTGTAGTGACAGGCTGTGTAGAACAGCCACAATAAATTTGTCTCTAGAATTCACCAAAAATATCACCATATTCAACATACAATTTCAAATAAATAAATGAAATAGAGGAATGTGGTGAGCCTTCAGGAGATTAAATGTTAAATGTTAAATGTACATTATCTGAAAGGGAGAGGTACTTATAAATGATTAGGATTTGACTACAGAAATAGTCAGATGGGTCTGTAGTGCCGTGAGAAGATCAAGAGTTTGTTCTAAGAAAGTAAACAGAACATTGGAAATGCCTAGGCACAGAGCATCTCATGACAATATCCAACAGGAATGGTGAGGGAACTAAAAGTACACAGGAAAAAGGGCACAATCCACACTCAAGTCGCTGTTTTCTATACACTTCTCATATGGGTATAAGTTCATATAAGTTCACATACGTGATATGATATTAATTTTTCAATAAGTAATAATTCCTGCATGTTTGAATCCATATGCAAAATCCTAGAATTGTCTTTTTCTTCTTCATTAATAAGCACAAAAAGAAAACAAGGATGCTGCTTGTTTAAATACAAACACTTGATTCAGAAAAGCAGATGAGCAAACTGTAGTGCTGAGGACAGTTTTAAGTTCAGTGACTTGAAGCTGTGATGTACCTTGAGAGAAAAGTGGAAGGGTCACGGCCTTCCCCTTGGGTCTCCTGGGCAGTAGGTCTCTTTGGCATGTTCAGCTGCTCAGAACATCTCTAGAAAGAGTGGTGACAGCCAGAAGCTGGGGAGCAGTGGAAAGTAGGTGACACATGTGTAAAATACATTAGGGGCTTTGTCTTTTTAGAGGCTCTTACTGGTTAGCATGGGAAGTGGGTCTCATATGCAGAGTTGCTGGAGTCACAATGAAATATGTTCATATAAAGAAAATCTCCGAGGAGCTTTCATAAAGATAACTCATTTATGTAGTCTAAAGAAAGGGCTGATGCATTTGGGAGTTTATTTGGTTCAGACACCTACAGTTAATTTTACTAATTTTTTTGTTGTAGGTTCAAGATACTTGACATACAGGACTTAAAAGTAAAAGGATTACTTTATCTCATGGTTTCAGAGCCTGAAGTCAGTTGTCATTTGATCCCAACAGAGAAATGTCACAGTGGAAGGAAACGAGGAAAGATAACTGCTGCATGAGAACCAGGGAGCACACAGCAAAGCAGGTGGCAGAGAGGAAGAGGAGGGAGAAGGCAAGGTCCTCAATGTCACACCTCCATGTCTCACCCAGACACACCAGCAGTGTGCTTTGCTAGCATCCTGCCCACCTCTCACGCCAAACAACTTATTAATCAAGAGTGTCATATGACTCCAGGCAATATTTTCCTTCTGCCAATGTTAATGTGTTGAAAGACAGAGATTTGTAACTGTTGAGGAGGGAGCTACAGGAGAAAGGGAGTTTACAATCTGAAGTCCTCAGGTTTTGTCTCAATGCCAGAAAGTATATTAATTTGCCAATCATATGGCTCTCTTTGGTGAGTATTTTTTTGGCTTAGAAAATGAGTAAATCAAGAGATACACTATGAGAAAGTCGTACCCATGAAGCGAACAACCATATTCCTATTTCTCACCTCTCAGAACAGCAGATCCTCCTTCTCTTGCATGGTGTCCTGGCCTGGCCTGACTCACGATGCTCTCTCACACTGATTTCTCCGTAGAGAATTAACTCTGCAACCGGCTTAGCAGACCGGTGACCCCATTTGGAAGAGCAACACACAGGAAGAGCCCACTGAAGCCAGGAGAAAGACTGGAATGGTGGTGCAGCCCTACGCTGGGGATGCTGATGACAGAGGATCACAGCAAGCTCAAGACCAGCCTGAGCTACATAATGAATTCAAGAACAGAATAAATTACATAGCAAAACCCTGTCTTCAAAACAAAAACACTGAAGCAGCTCTGGCAAAGCCAGGAGTAAACCCTTGTTAACTGCAGGCTAGAACAACAACAACAACAAAAATGCAGGCTAAAACTGGCCAGCATTGACAAGCCCCCGAGTTGGACACCCCACACCCTCACACCCCCACTACCCGCATCTGCAGGAGGACAGCGATAACAGGAAGCCAGCAGCAGCCCTGCTACTCCCACCACAGCCCTGTTTATCAACCAGTCCCAGGCCCAGCACCCATGGGACTCTAAAATTTTCCACCCTCTCGACCAGTGCCCCCCCAAACTCCCCGTATCTACGGCGCCCACCCTCCTCTCAGTGCCAAGGGTCTTTTGGCCCTAGGCCCATCTGCACTCAACTGCAATAAACTCATCGCATGTTCCTTAGATTCTGCCTGCCTCGGTGGTCTTAAGCTTGTCTCAGTCTGACCCTACAAGCATCCTGGGAGGCAAACTGGACAAGAAGTATCTGAGTTACTATCTCGCATTCCAGCTGCACTCACACTACTAAGGCTTCTGTCGTCACTCTCGGTTCAGAGGGTCCAGAGCGCGGAGCGGGAACCAATCAGTGTGGAGGGGGCGGGCTGTATGAACTGTCCAATCAGGGGCCCGGGGAGGAGGGCTCTGTTTCCGGGCTTCTAAGCACAGAACCAGAGCTGGGTTCTGAGAGCTGTCTCAGTTGGGTAGACTGTCCGTGCTTTAAGATTTCTGCTGGCTGCAGGCTGCGTGGGAAGCACCCGGGGAGACCCTCCAGACACGCAATGGTGACGCTGTGGGACGGGTGTCCTGATAGGGATGGGACGGGACGGGGTGAGGTCTGGGGGGAAGCGGTGGGAACAGCAATGGCGGACCGGCGCCTGCCCGCTGCTCCGGAGTCCGAGTTCCTCCTGGCCTCTGCGCCCGTGGACACTCTGTCCCTCCTGCCTTGCAGGTCTGTTTTGTGTACCCAGCACCCTGTCTCCACAGCCACCCGACCAGCCTAGAGTGCAGACTCGGGCAGCCGCAGCCCACAGCTCCATCTCCACCTGTGCGCCGACAGGGAGAATTGTGGGGAGACCCTGATTCCAGTGGGGAGCTGTGGGGAGCGGGACCCCTGGTCTCATTCGTCCCTCCAGCAGACCTGAGGGATCTCAATTTTATAAGTGTCGAGGATACAAGGTCTCAAAGCCACAACTTAGCTCCTGAGGACGACGCTGCTCTGTGATGAGAATAAATTGCCAAAAGTATTCTATGTCCCCACATTGCCAAACTCGGGATTAGTGAGGACCAGTGCCGTGTGAGAATTGACAGTAAAGATTGCCAGGCGTGGTGGTACGAGGCTGAGGTAGGAAGTTAGCTTTGAGTTGGAGGCCAGTCTGGGTTACTTAGTGAGATCAAGGCAAGCCTGAACTACAAAGCAAGACCCTGTGTGAAACAACAAAACAAAACAAACAAAAAACCGAAGGAAAAGAAAGAAATGTTCGATATTGCTGGTCTAGTGAGTTCGTGAGAGAGTGCTTGCTGAGCATGCAGTGAACTTGTGAGCTATATACACAGCAATGCAAAAGCAATTATCACCTAATGATTTGGGTGGCACCTCTATGAAGGGAGAGACCTCTTAAGTGAGGCCTTCTCATATTGTTTAGAGTGCTGAGAGAAAGGGTGGGGTTGTTAATATGTTAACAGGGATCCCGGAAAGTGTTCCTGCTAAGGACTACTTCCAGAAAGGGCTGCCTGTTATACACATACACACACACACACACACACACACACACACACACACACACACACACAGTGGGAGAATCATTAAACTCAGGCATTTACATGGAACATGTGATTTGGTGGAGTGGAAAAGAAGAGGGGTAGCATCTCAAGTAACTGCTATAGGCCTTGGACTGTAGACATTGTTTTAAGAATTGAAATGCTGACTGAGGTGGACTTTATATTAAAGGAATAGTGTAGTAGGAGTAAAAGTTGAAGGTGAGCTCTGTGGCCATAGGAGTGGTTAGCAATAAAAGGTTTCTGTGTAGGGAGAAATAAAGGGGAAGAGAAAAAAAGTGGGAGAAGAGGGGATGGTAATTGTGATAAAATCCGTGCCTACAACAGAGAGGGTCTTCCCCTGAGGTCAGATTGTTGTTAGTGTGACAAGAAAGAATTGTGTCCTGACTCAGTCTGAAAATGTGTCAAATATCTCAGCATTAAGAAAGGAGAAGTTGGGCTGGGGATGTAACTCGGTGGTGCAAGTGCAAGGCCCTGAGTTCCAGTCCAGGTACCAAAAGAAAAAGAAAGAAGAAAGGAGAAGTCTTGGTAAAACTTAAATATGTCTTTTATTACTACTGATCAATGAACCAAATCAGTCTTTTGTTGTTGTTCATGCTAGCCTTGACCTAATTATGTAGTCCAGGATTGCCTCCAACTTGTGGCAATCCTCCAGACTGAGCCTCCTAAGTACTGAGACTAGCAGCCAACACACTCATCCCTAATTGTTTCTGAGGAGAAAAAATGGAAATTAAGAATTGTCCGAGCTTGTCTGGCTTAAAAATTGGTAGACAGCATCGTCTAAGTGTGATGGAAAGGGATTTGTTCAGGATACAGCAGATTTCAGGTATGGTTGCTGTTTTTATTGTACAGAAGATTGAATGCAGCACCTTTTCCTCTGGAATACATTCTTCATACCTTGAAATATTTTTTAAATTTTGAGACCACATCTTTCTATGTTGCCCAGGCTGCAGCAAACTTTTGATCTTGTTTCAGCCTCCTGGAGTTCTGAGATAACAGACATGTGCCACCATGTCTGGCTGAGATATGGGGTTAGTTAAATGAAATTTATGTGCTTAGTTAAATGAAATTTCAGTGAGGCATGATGCTGCCTACCTTTCATCTCAGTCACTGAGGCAGGATTATTACAATAGCAAGGCCTTGGTGGACAGTGGAGCAGGACCCAGGTCAACATAAAGGAAAATCACCGGGGCTGTGTCTCCAATCCAACATAATTTGTGTAACATGTGCAAGGCCCTGAATTCAGTCCAGTACTGAAACATAAAAGTGATAAGTACTCAGTGGACGATTTACTTTGATTTGGAATTTTATACTGTTTGCACACTAGTGGTCTGAGCTGCAGTACTTAATTGCTCAAGATAGTGGGCATCAGCAGTGAGTCCCAGCTCTGTCAGCAACAAGACACCAAGTGAAAGCATCCAATGATTTTCACTGCAGCACATTCAATAAATTACATGGATATTTAATATTATGAAATAAGCTATGTGTTGCATACATTTTTCAAATACAGGTTTATAGAAATGTGTTAATCTGTTTTAAAGGAGCCAAGGCTTAGCAATGTTTGCTACCTTATGTATATTCAATGCATTTTCTTTTTTCTTTTCTTCTTTTGTTTTTGAGACAGGATCTCATTATACAGTTCAGGCTGGCCTTGAATGGACTATTTGGCTCAGGCTTGCCTCAAACTCATGGAAATCCTCATGCCTCAGCCCCGAGGACTGGGATTATAGGCATTCAGCACATTTTCAATACATTATAGTTTGAACTGCCTGTGGCTTGCTCAAGATATTTTCCCTTGATAACTCAAGCAGAATATGTAGACTTATTCCTCAACTCTTTGTAAAGTGCTTCTCTGTAGAATATGAAACTTACCAGGTAGTACCCTGTGTGGAGTAGTATATTAATCGGGTTCTCCCAAGGAACTGGGACGCATTACGAGTAGTGGTTTAAATAAAAAAAAAAATAAGAGTTGTGGCTTTTGTTTTCTAGTTTTGGTTTGGTTTAGTTTGATTTATTGTTTTAGTATTTTAGAGAGGTGCATCACTCTGGTCACACTGTCTGGCTTGTTCCATAAGAACAAGGGACTAGTATAGTAATTGTCAATGATCAGACAGGACTGAGCAGTTTAATTACAAAAACATCAAGCATGGGCAATGCTGAAAAGAAAACACTTCCATTCCTATTTCTATTTTATGATGAACGCAGGTACTATTCTTATTGCCTCAGTTTTGGAAAACTATATGGCTTTCTATTCCACCCTTTTCTGTCTTCCCACTACCTCTTTCTTGTCTTAATGGGCTGAACTCATGTCTGCTTAGAATGGTCACATCCTAGACTTGGGGTTCGTTTTCCTTTGCAGTGACTTACATCTCTCTAGGGAAAGAGATGACCACAGGCATTTGTTCTGTGTTCCATATGTGGCTGGAGTCTGCAGTCCTGAAACCTTCTGAGTGCTCCTGAATTCCCCACACTCTGTGGACAGCTCTGTCATTTTGGCATTCTGGAGAAGCCCATAGGAATGGCCTCTGCAGAAAGGCACAGCTGAGCTAAAAGCACAGAGCTTCAGTTCACCCCTTAGTGTGGCCTCTACACCTCTGGCATCTATCATAACACAGCAAGCTATGGAGACCTTTGTGGGTTTTTGCTAAAGCAAAAATCTGAATCTGAAAGGCAGTGGGGTCAGGGGAGAAGAGAAAAAGTACCTGGCTTGGTGGAGCATTCCTGTAATCCCACTACTCAGGAGGGTGCAGCAAAAGGATTGCCCAGAGTTTGAGGACAGCCTGCCTCCCATAGGGAGACACTGTCACCAAAAACAGAGAGAGAGAGAGAGAGAGAGAGAGAGAGAGGGAGAGAGGAAGTGAGGAAGTACCAACTGAGTTTTTTGGATAACTCAGCTTGGATTTGGGGTTTAGAGCTAGTGAAATGGATGGCAGCTTGTGGGGGTATTTTTGCCTTCCCGGTGCTGCATCATTAAAAAGATTATACGCCCACTACACTGGCTAAGTCAAAAGTTTCCAGCTACTGGTGATTCCATACTTGAGAAAACATGTGGACATGTAACATAACATCCTGTTTGGCTTTTCCATAGTCATAGGAAAGCAGGCTTTTCCAGTTCTGTCACTGATATGAATGTGCTAGAAGCATTCTCTTTCTTGCTGTGTAAGAAATAGATGAGACAAAATGCCCCTGATGCTCAGGAGCCTGCTTGTTAGTGTAAGGTTCCACTGGAGCACACTTGAGACCATCAAGGCAGGCAAAAATCTAAGCAACATACATTGAGTTTATTGCCATGTGGGTGCAGATGGGCCGAGGGTGAAAAGGCTGTTGGCATAGGAAGGATGGCGAACACAGTTTATATAAAGGAGTTTTAAGTAGGGGAGGGGACGTCAACTAGGAGAATGGAAAATTTTGGTGTCTCGGGTTGAGGCTGGTGAACAGGAAGTGGTGAGGGTAGCAGGGCGATGGCAGGTACAGCAAGGTACATTGGGTGCCTTGTGGTTTTTCAGAGAATCTGTCTCCTTGCAGGTGTGAATGAGCAAGTCAGTAGTTGGCTTTCTGTCATCACTATTCTTGCATCTGTTGGGTTTTTTTTTCTGTTAGGCGGGGGTCTCACTGGGGGCGGGCTATCATTTAGCGCCCAGAATGTATGACAATTTAAATTCTAACACACACTCTCCACATACCACCACCAGGGAGGAATAATTCCTATTTCTCTTCCCAACAAACACCAGATTTTTTTCAAATTTGGTGAATTTGATATGAATTGATATTTATTTCCATTTTTCCTTTTATGCCTTTTTTCTCCTTTCCTTCTGTAATTTACTTGTTTATATTTGTGTTGAGGCTAGGTTATTTTTGTTTGTTTTGTTTTGTTTTTTGAGACAGGGTCTCACTATGTAGTTGAGACTAGCCTGGAGCTCACTATGTAGCCCAGGTTGGTCTTGAACTCACAGTGATCCTCCTGCCTCCCCAGTGCTGGGATTACAGGCATGCACCACCATGCCTG